TGGTCGACTGTTACTAGATGCCAAGTTTCATTTGCGTTTCCTATTTACAGCTCAGAACTTAAATGTAGCGAACTCTGACTTGTTCAGTTCTGCAGGTAATTCCAAACAACAACAAAAGAGCCCATGAAGAACCTGGGTTTGTGCGACAATAGCCTTCCTTAGTCTGCCCTTTTAGTAGCAACTCGGTACTGTCTTATCAAAGCCGAAATCCGCCAACCGACAAGAGAATGAAGTGATTGTGTTTCCCCTCTAAATAACTCTATCGCCTACTGTCGAGATCGTGTTGCCATCGTTGTTTAGCCAGTATCCGTACGTTTATTCAACACCGGAGGGTCCACACAAGACGTTCTTATTGGGGTTTCGCAGTCAGATGTAAGATGCTCTGCGGAGGTATCCTTGTCTAACCAGAGTTTTGTAAACGAGCTAAGCAGCCAAAGGCTATGATCTCCAGACCATTTCATTCAGCAGACTGTCTCGCTCCATTGTCTGTCGCAAACTTGTAATAAATTGATTTGCTCTCGTTGGTTGGATGGTCTTCGCTGGCATGATATACAAGTCTCTAGTCTTTGTGCATGACGGGTGTCTGAAGCACTGAATTAGTTGTATTTTGAGTACCCCATCCTATAGGAGGTGAGTAAATTGTAATCTGGTTTCAGCTGACTGCTCTGGTCATTCAGTCGTTACTATCTCCGTGATTGAAGCCGAGGGTTCGTTTGGAGGGACGCATACTCTTTGGTATATCGCGGCAATGCAAAATCACGAAGTTTGGAATCTGACTTCTCATGAGCTTGGAGTTGGGCCGGCTTCAGCCGCGTACGTCGGCCAGCCATGCACGTTTAGCTTAATGTTGTGCGGTTGTAAACCAGGTGTTAGGTGTAGCAGTGCCTACATTATAGCACCTGATTCAAGGCCCCGCTATTGGCCGCAGAGTCATTCGTTTGCTCTTAGCTAAAAAAACTAGGTCGGGCTAGCAGAGCGTATTATTTAGAGAGATTCATCAAGAAATCTTTTTAATCAAACCCATTTGAAACACCAACTCCGAAGGTATCAGCACAACCTGCCCCCAAGCAGTTGTACGGTGAATGGTCGCCTGTTAGTAGAACGCTTTTCCGGATACTTAACAGCAACTAGAGAAAGCAGTGAAGAGCGATCGGGACGAGAACGTGGCCTTCTGCCAGGAAACAGGCGGAGAGTGTTCAAGTGAGAGAAGTAAGTGGAGAAGGTTAGTGATAGAAACTTGCAGAATGGGAGGAGGGAGTAAGAGTACTTCCAAGAAAGAGTGTTGCGGACTTACAGGTTGGGGGCTGCGGAGATGGGGGACAGAAGAGGGGAGTTTTTAAGAGTGACAGGATGGTGAGCGTCGGGTATGTAAAGTTTATGCGATTGGGTCAGCAAAAGACGAGGTCTTAGAACAAATTCGAAGAGTAGGCATCCGTTTAAAGGATATGGATAGGCTTGGCGAGAAAGAAATGCAACGGCAAAAGGACTGCGGGGCAGAAAAAAGGGAATTGTCGAGGCAGTTTGCGTGTAAATTACAAGCAAGAACCGATTTGGAGAAAGAGGAAGAAAAGAAACGTGATTTTCATTTTTGGACGTAAATATGAAAAAGGGGGCAATTTAGATAACCGGTTTCAGAAAGTGCTGTGGAGGGCGTTGCACTGCAAAGTAAAAGGGAACAAAGGTTGTGAACACATCCCTTTTCCCAATACATCGCGTGTGACTGTATCGAAGGTCTTTAGTGGGCTGTGAAAGTCACGTTTCGCAGCGCCTGCAAAATCTACAGAATTCCCTGCTCCAGGTGCGTATTCAGGCGGCTAAGGAAGACGCAAATGAGTATTTGTTTAGCATTGGGATGCAGCCGTGATTGTACTAGACGTGTTTGCTTCATTTATGCTTGCATATGTTGACCATCATGGCGTCTTTGGAGTTCT